GATGGTTGCGAATTAAATATTAATATCTTTATTATAATGAATTTCCGCAAAGTAACGCCTGATTCTATCAACACTTTAAATGTCTTTAAAGCGAGATAGACACCTTATTAAATCTTTCATTGTTTCTTAAAGATAAACATTAAAATTCATGATTATTTATAAAGTTCTAATTTCTGACAAAAGTAAAGATATTTGTACTAACTTAAGTCATTACATAGCAATCGGTTATGTTATGCGAATTAAGTATTACAAATATTTTTTAATTTTGATAATAAATGTTTTAAGCACTGATAAGACGTATCAGATAAGGGCAGTTTAATACTAGAATGAAATGTTTTTATGTCCGACCGAGATAAGCATAAATATTAAAAATGGCAAAGCCCAGATGGATCCCGAGGGTCGTGTCAAATTAAGTTTGTCAACTAGTGTAGCCAATTACATAGCAGAAAAGAAAAATGCTACCGAAGCAGTTTTTTAAGAATATTAATTAAAACAATATTTTATTAAAGTTTTAAAATGCATGTAATAGCAATTTATTAATGTTTTGGATATATTCTGTATAATGATAAGATAATAAAAATGTCAATAAAATTCTACTTTAGTAATAGCGAAATAATAAGAAAAATAAACAATAGAATTAAATGTTTCAATGTTGCTTAAAAGTTTTAATTCTTATATTAACTGTTGTATTATGTATGTGAAATTAGCAATTAAAATTGTATGGTAAAGTTTATATTCGACATTTTAAAATTTATGACTGTAAGCAATTGCTTGTAAAATAGTGATATTTTGTTTAAGAACCCTCTTACATTTCGGCGTTACGCAAATTTAGGTATTTTACGCAACGAGCAGACGATGATACGAGCTCCCGCAGAGAGTTGAGTTACGAGCGATACTTTATTTCATATCTATTCTCTCGCTCGCACTATGATATTGTGAGTATAGCGACTAAATGATCTATATCTTCCATTATACAAGTTTTCTTAGGATGGAGTTCAGTGGATGGAAAATTTTTGGTGTCATTTTTATGTTATCTAACTAATTTATTATAATCTATTTGATATATTTTTCATTATTTATAAACCTTAGTGTTGAAATAAGTACATATAAATATTTTAATTGTTTCACAGTAATCGACTGTTAACCGATGTTGATTAACAATAGATTATATCTACTAACGGTAGCATAGTGATATAAATAAATAAATAGTACGGTTGCAACTTGTTTTAATAAATAAAATAACCAACTGTAACTAATATTTTTTTTAATTGGTACTTACAGTCAATTACCATATTTTTTATTATAAAAATATTTTCCGCAAGGGCATTGATCGAGCTTATCTCGAGTCAAAAATTTCAGGCAGTACACACTTTTTATAAAACGTAACTTGGGTAACAATTCAAAATCCAAAATTTGTCGTCTTTGTAGTTTTTATTACTTTTACTGCATAATCTGGGCCAGTCCATATGGCAATCATGCAGACATTTTTATTCTCCATTATTATTTATCCAGAGATAGGATGTTTCTTTTTTTACGTTTATTGACACATTAATACTTGTATTTATTCCCCCCCCCCCATTTCGACTGGTAAAAAGCTCGGCTACAATCAAAATAACTATAATAAGTTAACTATCTGGTATAATAATAATGTGCGAACTTTATAGAATATAATAGAATAATTTTTTATTCAATATAGACTACAAGTAATTCTTATTGAAAGTCAATATTTTACTTTACCACTGGTCCGAAAAAAAACCTCTGTCCTGGGAAGAACCAGCAAGAAACCCAGCGGAGCTTTTTTTTTAAATAAATTTTACAATGTCAATGGTCACAAAATATTTAAAAAAATTATTTTAGAAACAGCTTGGAAGCGACCACCTCATTCCCAGGGGTTATTATCAACCATGTATTCATTTTATCATAATTATTTTATACGGTTTTTAAATCAATACTAATTGAAATATACTGTACGAAAGTAAATACTTCCAACGACCAAAAACTGCGATCGTAGTTGAGTTCTATTTCAGAGACAGGCCAAAATAGCAGCGCCTATAACGGCAATCGACGCACACTACGATAATGTTGCGCGGCTAAGTTGACATCTGGCACTTCTGGAGCTTTCCAGAAAATGACATCACTAATCTTTCAACCGACAGCGCCATCTGTTGTCGAAATGAAGAACTAAGCTTCTGGAAGCTGACTCTCGAACTTTCGGCGCTTTGTCGATTGGTGTGCGTATTTACTTGAATGTTCTGGATGATTCGGTACTAATGTGTATTTATAGGCGCTGCAAGGTGCGATCGGGGAAGTATTGAATTTGGCGAGACAAGCGAAGCTTCGGAGCGGAATAAAGTGAATTAGTGTGCTTAATTATTGGTGTTTTAAGTTTTAATTTGTGTAAAGAAAATTAAAGTGTTAATTTAGGTAATCCTATCGGCAATTTATTGTCACGAACCTCAAGCTCGTAACAATAATATCGAAACGAGACGGAGGGCGCTCAAATTGCACAGGTTCAACCTAGACAACCGCTCGCGCGGTACTGAAATCACATGGCCGGCGCAATGAAATATATAGTACTTTTATTTAACTAATTAAAAAAAAAAAAATTATATAAAAGAATTAGATATTGGATAAGCTTTTTTTGGATGTGGATTTTTTTTCTTACGTTAAAGGCATATAACGAAAATGTATTTTATTATTATTAAAGTATAGGATATTTGTGAGATAAAAATATTTTTTGATGGTCAATATTCAATAGAATCTACAAATTAGAGCTCCCAAATCATGTCTCTCAGTGTTTTGGCCTAAACCAGGCCTCTGTCACTCTTGCTAAACACCACTAAACACTACCTGCGTGAAATAATTACCTAAAATCGCGAGTCACCCGCGGTGTAATACGCAGGCGGAGCTACTGTGTTGTAGACGATTGAATGTTAAAGTTTTTTAATGCTGTTTACGTAAATAGTTTTATATAAATACTTGTTGAAATAGTTTTTGTTTAGTATATTTAATTGTAGGATAAAATAGTTGTAAAAGTTTTAATATAATTTAAAAATAATATAATTACCTATTTAATAAATTATAATAGCAAAACATCGTTCCTACTATAATTGTTGCGTGGATGGATACTAAATGACGAACAAAAGGTTTCACATTATTCTTTAAGTTACCGAATGATTTTAGAAGTAAGTTATGAAAGGTGAATTTATTTAATTTTTTTTTGTTAGGTACTAACAGCAAAAAAGAATTAAGTAATAATTTGATCTACAGAAGAGATACCTGAGTACTTTATTACAAAAATTAGTTAAAATTTACTTCACTATCCAAGTATCTACTTACATACTTATACTTGTCTTTTGTAATTAAAATATTTTAAGTTATAATAACACAAAATACTGAAATTAAAACTTTGTACTTATATTAACAAGATTTTGAACTAAGTAGAATAATTTCTGTTAGGAATCGTATTTCAGATTTATTTGTTGTTTACACTATCTACCTATTTCTTCCGAACCAAGCGCGTTTCCCGACGAATGACCTTGCAATTTGCATGTGTTAGGCATCGCAGAACTCACATAGGGGCGAAAATATGGTCCGTCGATCATAGTCAGAATAGGTACTTCACCTAACTGAATTAACATTTCACAATGTATTTTTTTACTTTCTATTGACATCCCTTAATAACCACGGAAAGTCCGCCGTGACTTAGGAAGCGGAAAAGATGCAAAGTAATATAGACCATCGCGCGCAGCGATAAAGTTTTAATTAGCTTGCGTGCGCAATTTATCTGATTGATAATAATTATGTTTGTATGTAATTATGTCGAAATCAAAGGAGTTATGTACGAAGTACTATTATTTATTCTGTGCCTAAACATGCATCGGGAGAATGATTATTACTAAATAAATAAATAAGTTATCTAAAATTTGCCTTGAGCTTATTGTAGTAGAGAAAACGAACTATTGTAACCAAGTAATTGTTATTTCAAGCAACGAACGGAAAACATAATTTTAATGAGGAAACCTTGTAATTTCGCGTTGTTTTTTTTTTAATACTCCTCTTAATATTTTATTAATTCTTTTATAATGTGAATGTTTTAATTATATTTATAATGTGTTCAATTTGTACTTTGTATAAAATATAATTGTTTTATAATGTTGTCATGGGACAATACATGGAATTGTAATAGCAAATATTGTCGACTAATTTGCAAGTCGTTCGGGACCAGCTACAGATTCCAGTTATGAATCAAGAAAAAAAAAACGAAATTAGGAAAACTAAAGTGAACGTTTTGAAAATAGTGAAATTTCGGTATCACATTTCCAAGGGGCATTTACGAACAGTTACTGTTTTATTTCTCCAGTGTCTACTCAAGAAGTAGAGAAGTAAGAAGATTTACAGTCCACTAAGTACACGACTGACGTCAGGGGCGGGACCATTCTTTGGGGCACGTAATCTTAGTTGTCAACCACCTTCTTTTAAGAAACGGGGTTGTCGCATGGAGTTGAACGTCTAGGGTCACTCCCACCGCGTTGCCCCAAACCCAGCATAGTGGTGTAGGTTGTACCTCATAGGAGGCGTAAGACCCGTGTTTCATAAGTCTGTTGTGATAGGGACTTCGCGGCCGGTTTGAGAAGACAGCATGAGAAGCCAGGCGGAGGAAGACGACCATCTGTTTTATATGGTTTCTGAATATTTAAGATTAACATTCCAGTTTTTTCTATAAACTTTAGGAATGTTCTAAAAAGAACCCACTGCCAGTATACTTGCTTAGACAAAATCGGGTTTTGCACCTAACACATTCTTATTATATATTTCTTAGTTAATATTTTATATTGGAAGTATATACATATACTAATTTAACCAAACACTGAAATTTATGACAGGAGATGTTATGGCATATGGACAGAATGGAATTATAATGGGCTCTTGTATAACTGTAGGACCATAAGAATATAGTGTTTCATAATATCATCAAATATAACATTAAAATAAACAACCTGGACTTTTCATGAGATATGCTTGATCTTCCTTCAACTTTTCATATATGTCCATCAAAACTGCATCTGCCTCAACTTCCATTACGCGAGTTGTATTACTACATGCAACACAGTCTGGTTTTTTCTCTGCACTAAATGTATAGGTGTAAACTCCGTCAGCCATATTGAGAACCATATAATTGTTCATGTTAGTACAACATGATGATGCTAGCTTGAAAACCTGTAATTAAACAATTTATTTATTATTTTCACTAAGTATAACCTCATATAACCTACTAAGGAATGTGGGGGCACATTTCCTAAAATTGCTTCGTAACACTAAGCTCCATCATCAATATAGTAGTTACCTTTGTTTTAGTTAAATTTTTAAATATTTACACACACATATATTATATAATGTGTGTGTGTTTGTATATGACAAGAATATTATACTTTAAGTGCTTTCCGAGTAACTGACTGAAGATTTATAGAAAAAACATCCAATAATCATTGATTTGAACCGACCAGGAATCCCAACCTAAGACCACATGATCAGCAGTACGACCACTATACCTACAAGGCAAACTACATACATACACACATGACAACGTCATCACCGTCACTGCAGCCCATTAAATCCCCTGCCGAACTTAGGCCTCCTCATAGATTAACTCATAAAGTGGCTCATTTGCCAAGCTTGGCAGGTGGATTGGCAACCTTTTTTTTCCTAGTTATTATTAAGTAGAAGCTGCTGCCTATCTCCTGGTTTGTTTCCCTCTCTCGGGTAGTAGATATTCTTACACCACCACTACACGGTCGAAAAAGCACATTAAAAAGGAACTAAATATCGAATATTTGCCTAATTAGGGTGTTACCGCACCAATTGATCAATGGCATCTATAACACCAATCGTACAACATCAATCAACGTCGATCAGACTTAACTTTTGTATGCTCCTAAAATTAATTCATTGCTTATGCTATAATATTTATCATTTTATGTGCTTTGTAAAATAACTTTGATAACAACTTCCCTCTCCACGGAAGACAGAATAGAATAGAATATTTTTTATACAATATAGATCACATTTAATTCCTATTGAAAGTCATTTCTTACTTTACTGTTGGTTCAGGAAAAAACCTCTGTCCTTTGAATAACCAGCAAGATACCCCCAGCAGAACTTTTTTATAAGCAAATTTTACAATATGAAAGGTTGTACAAAAAATTTATTAGATACAATAGTTAAATAGTCAAAATTTTCATATAGGACTCATGCAACAGAAAAATGGTTGATATTTAAAAAAAAAAAAGCTTATGTCAATATTATTATTCTTTCTTGATTTTACATACCTCAGTTGCACATGAAGCTGCTATTGCAGCATTTGTACTAGCTACAGCAGGAATAATGTTTTTCAATACACCTTGAGTCAATCTGTAGGTAACTGATGTTATACCATGTTTTGTGGCCCTCTCTTGTGCTTTTTCAAACACCCATGCTACATGTTGTGGGTCATCTCCATCTAATGGAGTTGTATTACCCCAAGGATTCTCCTTAGGCCACTGAATAACTTTTACATATTCAATACAGTGTTCCGGCAATCTAAGTAACACAAATATTAAAGTTTAATATTTAAAAAAGTCTTTCACTCATAATGGTTCTGAATATAACACTAAATATTTGCACAAACACAGAGACTTTATCTTCTCTTACTTGTACTTAATGAATATCTTATGTAATAAGTTCAGATTAAAGTTTGTTTGTGATCAATATCAAACTCAACTACTGTATATACAGTTACAGTATAAACCATTGACCAAATGTCTTTATATAAACGCAAATATGCTAAACTCAAATCTCTCGCTCTAGCGGAATATTAGTGATTCAGTTATGGCACTTGTACTAAAATGTCTTTCCAGTGGGTAAGAAACAGATATCCATGTCCAACAATAGATTCAAAAAGGCTGACAATAATTTATTTATTAAACTTACAGGAATTACCTAATATGACAGTGAAGTTCCTTTTATGCTTAACAACTTACTTAGGGTACTTAACATATTAAAAAAACATATAATAAATTACGAAAAACCCCGCCCTATAAAAATGATACAGAGAGACATTAGAGTCTGTTCAGAAATGCAACCAAAGTGGTAGAAAATCAACATATAATTGTAAAATAAATATTATAATTCTTTTTTGAATAAAATTAGACATGTGGTGGCGACCTAAGAGAAATTATCATCACATTTATACATTATTGAGCTATGCTACAATGTTTTATGTTTGCAGCACTACTGGGTCTGCTTGACCAAGAAAAGACCATGCCTGCTTCGAATACTACATAAATAGCATAGCTGTGTTTTGTATGATGAGTATTTTGATGACTTTCTTAATCGATGATACTTGTACATATCTATGGACCATACCGAGTGTTATGACCGACAGAGAAAAAATAACTAGGAATATTTCAATTGATAACGCGAACTACACATGTCTTCATATATTTTTTTCCAAAAATACCGGATTGCTAACAAAGTTTTGTTCCACTGCAACTCACACAACAACATACTATGACCTACTAATGACCGACAGAGAAAAAATAACTAGGAATATTTCAATTGATAACGCGAACTACACATGTCTTCATATATTTTTTTCCAAAAATACCGGATTGCTAACAAAGTTTTATTCCACTGCCAAGGAACATGGTAACTCACATACAGTGACTTTTACGAGTTCCAAGCCCCTGAGCTACTATGGCTATTGATGACCATTACAATAACTAATTAAAATTATTGTAATAACAAATATTACATGAACTCGAAAAGAAAAAAGATATACATAGTAGATGTTTAAACGAAATATACCTTGGTGTATTAGCAATGGTACACAATGGAAAAGTTTTTTGCGGAGGATATAAGTCTAGGGTACATTCTATGCAGGCACTCATTCCTGGTAAAATAACTCTTGCATTGCCCTTAAATCCTTCTGTTCCCCCATCCACCAAAGGTATGACACTACTTTGATCTAAGCTTCCTGAAAATAGTATAATATATTAAAAGTAACAAACCCTCATCTTATTAATGTAAAAGTCAAATACGCCATACAAATCTCATTTTTCAGAGGATTCTTAGAGAAGGCAAGAGTATTTGCTACAGTATCCCAGTGACCAGTATGTGTGTTGTCAGACTTAATATACATGGAAATATTTTTAATTTCTTGAAGATCTGGTTTTTTTTTTTAATTTTGTTGATGTGGTAAATAAAAAAAATCTCTACATTATCTATTTGTAGCTTTATACATGATGACATTTAGTTTAAAATTGCTCCAGAAGTCTGTCGACTTAGAACAATTGAAAAACATTTGCTTTGTTTAGTCAGGGAGTAAGATAATCATGGACTCAATTGTAACTCCTCATCATTGCAATTCTTTTGATTGTTTAAGCATCACAAACCTATTCATTGCTATTTTGATATAAAATATTTATGATCATTGCAATAATAATAGGTCCTTACATATAAAATTGGTTTTTTGTATAGGAGGAATATAAAGTCAATTTTTTAAATATTTTTTTCAATTTTTTTTAAATTAATAAAAGTATGCACTGTTGTTATCTATGCACTTTTGCCAACTCACAGGTAGTTCAATGATCCCTTTACTAAAAACAACATGGGGGCGAGAATCAATAAACTCTTTGAAGGCGGCTTGGACTGCCGCATCGGAGTTGAATTTTTTTCCTTCTAAGAAGTTATCTAAATTCCAGAAAAAATGATAATCTGTTGGAGCAAGGTCCGGGGAGTATGGTGGATGTTGCAGACGTTCTAATTGTAGCTCATCTAACTTAGTGGTTGTTTGTTATGCGTGTGTGGTCTTGCATTAATGTGAAGCAGCAGTGGCCTAGAGCGATTGACCGATCTCAGTTGTTTAGCAGCTCCTTCATGGTTTGGAGTGAGTTGCTGACAATATCTGCCGTAATCATTTGGCCAGATTTTAGAAAGCTGTAGTGAACGACACCGGCGCTAGTCCACCAAATACTCACAAGTAACTTTTTCTGAGTCAATTTTCGTTTAGGGCAGGATTTGGCTGGATCTCCAGGGTTCAACCATTGCAATGAGCGCTTTTGATTATCGTACAGTATCCATTTTTCATCACAAGTAATGATTCAATTTAAAATCCCTTCATATTTGTATCGGCTGAGCAAAGTAAGACAGCAGTTGACTTGTGTTTGCAAGTTCAATTCACTCTATTGATAAGGTACCCATTGTTCAAGTTTTTTTACTTTCTTGGTTTGCTTCAAGTGGATTAATATATTTTATCACTTACCCCGAAGCCTGCAGCTATCTATGAAGTGCTTTGTGATGGATCCGTTACCACAATAGCCTTAAATTCTTCATTTTCCACTTTGGTCTCCGGCCGTCCACGGGGTTGGTTCCGAAGGTCGAAATTTCCAGAACGAAAATGTTGAAACCAAAAACGTACCGTGCTTTCTTTTGCGACACCAGCGCCGTATACATCATAAACACTTCGAGCTGTTTCTGCAGTACAGGTGCCACGGTAGAACTTGTAGGTACTCGTAAATATACCGATATTTCATGTTTTCCATGGTGCGGTAATAAGCAACACCAAAGAAAAAAATAATGAGGAAAAAACAAATGAATGATTGTTTTCAAAACTCAAATGTACCAGCTAAATGAATTTATCAATTTGAATTTGGAATTCTTAACCAAAGAGGAGATATTTCAGATCAAAGTGGTCAGTACGACAAAACGCTAATTTTGTATGTAAGGACCCAATATATACTCCAATATTTGAAAGTTGGAGCAAAATGAAATTTAAGTATCCTTCGATTATTTATAAAGATAGAGAATGAGGGGGGACGTCAAGTAAAACATAGAAATATTTCATCCCTATTTTATTGATGTTTACTAAATCAGCATTTAAAACACTTTTAAGAAACTATTTTCAATGTCACTAAGGGTTAGTAAGTATAGGAGACTTGTTAAGGTTAAGCTTGAATCTATTACACTGTTTTTAGATGGCGGAAATGCATTTTGAATTAATTATGATAAAAACAAATTTCACTAAAAATTGTGTAATAACGAAATGCAAATATGTCAATTTGTTCTCGTATTATGTAGTAGATGTCTGGTACTTGATTTTTAATTTTGTTTTCAATTTATGAGGATTTTCAGGGTTAACCTTGAACCATTTACACTGTTTTTGGATTACAGAAATGCCATTTGAATTAATAACGATAAAAATAAATTTCATTAAAAATTGCAATAACGAAACGCAAATATGTCAATTTGTTTTTTAAACACAGATAAACTCATAAAGAAGTTAATCACTCAGACCCAGACAATCCATTTGCGGCTGGAGACAGGACTTATATACAACAAATTGAGTCGCAGTGGAGAGTAGTCAAGGGGTTTTTCAGAAAACAAAATTATAACAATTCACATTACATTATTTCATAGCAGAGTTTAGGGCAACCAGACTTTATAGATAAGATTGGTCAAATCGGTTCTAAAACCGAATTAGCACACCCCAACTCCATGTAGTCTCGTCTGCCCTACCCCTATTGTTTTTGTAAAGCTGTAGGCACGGAGGGAGAGCAGCCCCCACCCACTTGGCATGGTATAAAAAAAGTGAGGTTATTAAATTTACAAAAAAAATTATTACTCATAAACTATACATTTTCGCAACGGGGGAAGGGTAGGGGGGGCTTCCAATGGTACCCTCCCCTCCCAACAGCATATGCGAGTACCGGACGTCTATAGTTTAACCGTCACTAATACATATTAAACACTTTTTTTAACACCATGTTATTTAAAGCAAGAAGCTTCATCATCAATACACTGAAGGTACCATAGCTCAAAGGACAGGTCCTCACTTTCAAAATCACCATAAATTTAATTGAAAAAAAGAAGGTAATAAATAACCTGGCCTCTGAGCTATTATATCTTCAATTAGTAATAAGTATAAATTAATTTTAATAGATACTTACTATCATCATTGTACTGCAGTAATGTCATAAGCATACCATTAAGCCACCTTCTAGCAACAATCGAATCAAGTCCACAAACAATTATATGAAATTGACGATAGAAACCTTCATCTAAATCTTGAATAGCACAATGGTGAGCAACGGCCTCACAGCCTGGAACTCTGAAAGATTTTCAAAGTTCAATGATCCACTATTTTTTAAAATTTAATTATTTAGCATTTACCCAATTGGGGATATACCTTTTGTTTACAAACTCTACGGCACACTTTGCTTTCGACAAACCTATATCTGATTTTCTAAAAAGAAATTGTCTATTCAAATTGGAAAGTTCAATTGTATCCATATCCACAATATGAATTTTTTTAAAACCCATTAACGCCAAGTCCTTCAGTAATTCACAGCCGAGCCCTCCAGCACCCACCACCAAAATTTTGCACGAATCCATTAGAAAATCCAATATCTCTGAAGATGGTTCAAAATCTGGATGACAAAACGGACCCGACCTTTCCAGTACTTTACGAATATTATGCCATCTTCTTAGTTGCTCAGGCATCTGGGCATCAACTGCAGCCATAGTTGTATTATTTCTTAAACGTAAATGCAAATAGTTTATGTCTCTTCTATTTACTCCACTGAAAATTGAAAATTACTAATGATTTTTAAATGTTGGAGTCGATTACAGTTCCAGTTCCATACACGTACTAGGGATGTCATCATCGATGTTTGACATGTTTGATGAATTAGGAATGCTCGATATAAATCGATATATCATAAAATATCGACATATACATTCGATATATCGAATCGATCCGATATTATCGTATCATCTGATATCGATACAAATATCGATATATTTCATCCGATATTTTGTACAAAATTAAAATTACACCCGTCACGCAATTTTATTCAGAGTAAATACTCTGAACATAATTTCTTTATGTCTAGATGAATTTATAAAAAATAAATTCAGAGTTGTTTAAGGAAATTAAAAGTCCAATGTATGTAGTACCTTTTAAAGGTCGGTAACGGTAATCATTACGTTAACTTTGCGTAGTATCATATCGCTCGTATCGTAGTGCCTATCGGTAAAGAAATGGCTGCTGAGCGTAGACCGTAGACATGGGACCTTCAGATACCAGCGCCAAAAACCAGGGCTCGAATTACTTTTAAGTATTTTCTTTCTGCATCGAAATTTGATCCGTAAATTCATACAAATAAGGAGTGTAATCGCATATGCCAAAAAGTAAACTTTTAAGCCTTGTCGGAAGAAAAACACTCGCAAAGAACGTTGATCCATAACTATATATAAATAAAATGCACAATTGCGTTTACAAAAAAAATTTAATACCTTTAAAAGTTTCAACTTTCAAGCCTTGTTGGAAGAAAAATACTTGCATAGAACATTGATCCGTAACTATATAAGAAGCGGAATTGCAAAAAAAAAAACTTCCAATCCGTTAAATTAAGTTAATGTACCATGATCCGTAACAGAATATAAATACAAAGCAGAATCTCGTCGAGTATCGACAGAGCGGGAATATTCAAATACTTTGAAGTCTTGCGACCATTTTGGGTCGGCACTTAATCGGCGTATTTGCAAGTAAATACCTGCTATAAAAACCGAGCAGGATGTACATAAACACATATTAATGGAAATTCTCAAACGAATGGGTGCCATTGGATATGTTTCACCGTTAGCTATTTCAACCATATTAGACCCAAGGTTTAAAAAAATACATTTTGAAGACCTGTTGGCTTGCGCAAATGCCGTATGTATAATTAAAGATCTGATAAAAAAGATTAGCAAGGAGAAGAGGTATGTCCTACTGCCAGTTCGGAGTCAGATAGTTCAGAAAAAATTTGTCAGTCAGACTTTAGTCTCTGGAGTGATCATCATAAACTGGTTCAGCGGAATCGGAGAACTAATAAAAGTGATGAAAGTTTTTCAAATGAGTTATCTCTTTATTTGAGTTCAGTTAGTAGATTTAACTAAAATCAATTAGAAGAGTGAACCGATTAAAAAGTGCAATTCCCGAAATTGTACAATATAGCATACATATATTTAACCATGGTGGCCAGCTCAGTGCCATCTGAAAGACTTTTCTCAAAACATGCATAGGTGTAACCCAGCAGAGAAACAAAAAAAGCCAAATTCGTAAATAACATTTTGTTTTTACAAGGTTCAGATAAGAAATATTGGAACATATAAAAATAAAGCTGATTCGGTTTTAACCCCGGCTGTTTTTACTTATTTACACATAGTAAACGGTTCGTCTTTCGTTTTTAAATACAAAAAAATATATCGATATATCGAAAACATCGATACAACGTTGCGATGAATTATATCGAAAAAATATCGATACTTATTTATATGAACAGCCCTACGATTAATCCCTGATCATAGATAAATACGTAGACAGAGAAACCTATAGACAAATTGACGCCTTCTTTCGCATTCGCACACGAAAAAGATAGATTTATGCATACGTCGTGCATAGAAATGAGACAGACCGGTGTGATTGTTTGTCCCTTTCACCGTGCCGGTTTTTTTATTTAGCAAACTACACTTTGCTAAGCAACTTTGAGAGTTCTTAGCGATCTAAGGAATTTACAAGTTGGTTTAAGTGAGAAAAAAGTGTTTTGTGAGCTTAAGATTGGTGAATCTTGTTCAGTTCAGTTTTTAGAACAATTAAAACTTTTATCTAAATATGTTGAAAGATCATAAAGATTATTGTATAACCTAAAACTAGGTTATCGTCCTTTCTCACTCGAGGCCACGCTAATCATTAGTCTATAGGTTTCTCTGTCTACGGATAAATAGATATGCAAGCTAGCAAGCTAGATGACCATAAATAAGAAAAAACACAATGAACCAATAATCGATTAGTAAGAACGTGTGAACAATGCGAACCCGCGAAATCAATATCAACTAAATATTTCATCTCCTATTAAAGGTTTAAGTACAGACAGTACCTGTCAATATATGATATTTTATTTACTTTATGGGCATGCACTAATTAGGTCGGCATGCCCATAAAGTATGACATTGACAGGTACTGTCTGTATGTAGACAGAGAATGCTAGGATTCTCTGTCTACGTGTCTGTACTACTAAGAAATTCAGGACTTCATAGGCGTGATTTTTACTGACAGCTGTCGCAGAGATCAAGCTATCTTTTATGAACCATAGTCATATCATTTTCTGGAAAGCTCTCCTCGCTCTGTTACCCGACACTAGATGGCGCTAGTAGCATAGACATCTTTCAACCGACAGCGCCATCTAGTATTGAATTTGGAGAGACAAGCGAAGCTTCGGAGCGAAATAAAGTGAATCAGTGTGATTAATTATTAGTGTTTTAAGTTTAAATTAGTGTAAAAAAAATTAAGTGTAAATTTTGGTAATTCAATCGGCAGATTTTAATTGTCATGAACCTCAAGCTCGCAACAATTGGTGTCAGAAGTGGGATAAAATCATGCCGATTTTACCTAAGGAGAAAACGGAGGGTGTCCGCACCCGAAGTAGTAAGATCTGGCAGTAGGACATACCTCTTCTCCTTGCTAATCTTTTTTATCAGATCTTTAATTATACATACGGCATTTGCGCAAGCCAACAGGTCTTCAAAATGTATTTTTTTTAATCCTTGGGTCTAATATGATTGAAATAGCTAACGGTGAAACATATCCAATGGCACCCATTCGTTTGAGAATTTCCATTAATATGTGTTTATGTACATCCTGCTCGGTTTTTATAGCAGGTATTTACTTGCAAATACGCCGATTAAGTGCCGACCCAAAATGGTCGCAAGACTTCAAAGTATTTGAATATTCCCGCTCTGTCGATACTCGACGAGATTCTGCTTTTTATTTATATTTTGTTACGAATCAAGGTACATTAACTTAATTTAACGGATTGGAAGTTTTTTTGCAATTCTGCTTCTTATTTATATATAGTTACGGATCAATGTTCTATGCAAGTATTTTTTTCCAACAAGGCTTGAAAGTTGAAACTTTTAAAGGTTTTAAATTTTTTTTGTTAACGCAGTTGTGCACTTTATTTGTATACATATAGTTATGGATCAACGTTCTTTGCGAGTGTTTTTCTTCCGACAAGGCTTAAAAGTTTACTTTTTGGCATATGCGATTACACTCCTTATTTGTATGAATTTACGGATCAAATTTTGATGCAGAAAGAAAATACTTGAAAGTAATTCGAGCCCTGGTTTTTGGCGCTGGTACCTGAATGTCCCATGTCTACGGTCTACGCTCAGCAGCCATTTCTTTACCGATAGGCACTACGGTACGAGCAATATGATACTACGCAAAGTTAACGTAATGATTACCGTTACCGACCTTTAAAAAGTACTACATACATTTTACTTTTAATTTCCTTAAACAACTCTGAATTTATTTTTTATACATTCATCTAGCAATAAAGAAATTATTTTCAGAGTATTTACTCTGAACATAATTGCGTGACGGGTGTAATTTTAATTTTGTACGATATATCGGATGAAATATATCGATATTTGTATCGATATCAGATGATTCGATAATATCAGATCGATTCGATATATCGAATGTATATGTCGATATTTTATGATATATCGATTTATATCGAGCACTCCTAATTCATCAAACATCACAAATCACTATATACTCGTCTACGACAGATAGGACAGTACTCTGGTTGACGATTAGTTCCAAAAATATGCGCAATAGCGCTTATGCCGTAATGTCACCCAGTGGTGACCCACAACATACTATTGAAGTGTCGGTGACGATGCGAAGAATATCGATAGCATAGTGATGTGCCATAAATTTTTTATAGGGTTAATAATATTCGCAAGTTTTACTTTTTCATGTTCATAAGATACGAATATAACAAAAGAATATAAAAATAAACTGACTTTAGATATTTTACTTTTTATAATTTTTTTCTCTCCTTTCCTCGGTTCTAAATTTATCAAAGTCAATTTTTTGAGGTGCACACATCTGTCTCACAAGTCTTTCTTGTACACCTCCTTTTAAAATTTTATTTATTATATTGCACCAATTATGGACATGGGTGCGTATCATTAAATTAAGCAACCATTCCTTTAATTCAGTTTTATGATGTGTACACCCCAACCAAATTACATCCAATTTCTTTATTATTTCAATTTTTAAAAGTTTTTTTATACATTTTTTGTAAGCATACTTATTTAGGTAATCATGTATAAGGCCCGAGATATCCCTATATAACATTAAAACTTCTTTGATGGATAGGTTAAATTGTTATATTTTAAAAGAGTGTATTCCCGTTGTTCAATCCATTTATGAAATACATCTCTATGTGTTTGGGTATAAGTCTCAGAGCATCTCCTACAATTAAATTTTTTTTGTCACTCTCCTGCACATATACCCCGCTGTATAGGCAGAAGAATGCACGCGCAATCTTTCATTCACTGGAAAGTTTAGTGACCGATCGCAACCGCTAATGTTTTTGGTCTTTGTTATGGGTCTTTTATGTTTTAAATATATAGATTGACTTGGCAATCGCACTAAGCAATCTAATTTTATATAGTATGTATTACTT